GACTCTCCTCTCCAGCACCCTGGCATAGGCCTTTCCGGGGAGGCTGAGAAGTGTGATTCCCCGATAGTTGGAACACATCCTCCGGTCCCCCTTCTTGTGGAGGGGAACCACAACCCCAGTCTGCCAATCCATGGGGACTGTCCCCGACCTCCACGCAATGTTGAAGAGACGGTTCAACCATGACAGCCCGACAACATCCAGAGCTTTAAGATACTCAGGATTGATCTCGTCCACCGCCGAAGCCTTGCCACCGTGGAGTTTTTTGACCACCTCGGTGACTTCAGCCTGGGTGATGAATGAATCCAGCCCAGGGCACCCCGTCTCTTCTTCCCCCACGGAAGGCGTGTCTGTCGGGTTGAGGAGATCCACAAAGTATTCCTTCCACCGCCTGACAATATCCTCCTTCAAGGTCAGCAGCCCCCCACTTCCACTGAAAACAGTGTTAGTGAAGCACTGCTTTCCCCTCCGGAGGCGCTTACTGCGCACTACACGTTTGGGCCTGCCGAGTCTTTCAGGCTTCCTCCTCTTCCAGCTCACCACCAGGTGGTGGTCGGTGGACAGCTCCGCCCCTCTCTTCACCCGAGTGTCCAAGACATGCGGCCGAAGATCAGAAGATACAAAGTCGGTACAAACATGGTGTTCATTATGGACAAACCGTGACTTGCACAGAAGTCCAATAATGAGACACCACTCAGGTTCAGAGCTGGGGGCCCGTTCCTCCCGATCACGCCCCTCCAGGTGTCACTGTCATTTCCCACGTGGGCGTTGAAGTCTCCCAGTAGAATGATGGAATCCCCGGGAGGGGCACTTTCTAACACCCTCCCCAGGGATGCTAAGAATGCCTGGTACTCTGTACTGCCGTTCGGCCCATAGGCCGAAACAACTGTCAGAGTCCTCCCTTCAACCCTAAGGCAAAGGGATGCTACCCTCTCGTCTACCGGGGTGAACTGCAACACGAGACAGCTGAGCTGGGGGGAGACAAGCAGCCCCACCCCCGCCTTCCGCCTCTCCCCGCGGGTCACTCCAGAGTAGAAGAGAGTCCAGCCTCTCTCAAGGAGCTGGGTTCCAGAGCCATGGCTGTGTGTAGAGGCCAGTCCAACTATTTCTAGCTGGTATCACTCCACCTCCCGCACAAGCTCGGGCTCCTTCCGCGCCAGTGAGGTGAAATCCCCAGAGCCAGTTTAAGTGCCCGCAGATCAGGTCACAGAGGTCTCCGCCTCTGGCTGCTGCCCAATCCCCTTTGCACCGGTCCCTCATGGTTTCCCCTGCAGGTGGTGGGCCCACTGGGGGATGGCCTCGCGTCGCTCCTTCGGGCTGGGCCCGGCTGGGTCCCGCGAGGAAGAACCCGACCACCAGGCGCTCGCCGACGAACCCCAACCCCAGGCCTGGCTCCAGGGTGGGGTCCCAGCTCCTCCGTACCGGGTGACGTCACATGCCTCGTTTTAGTTCTCGTCATAAGGGTTTTTGAGGGTTTTTGAACCGCTCTTCGTCTAACCTGTCACCCAGAGCCTGTTTGCCTTGGGAGACCCTACCAGGGGCATTTAGCCCCCGAAAACATAGCCACTGGGATCACCCAGGCACTGAAAGCTCAGAGTATTAAATTAAAAGTTCTCTTTTCTGTTGCCAATTTACCGATTTAATGCGTAATAAATAAATAAAAAAATCAGAAGTTGAGAGGACCACGGCAACCAGCGGACCTCCAAGAGTAATGGCAGCCAGGTCTAATCCTAACCCGTCTGCAGCAGCCTTCTCTCATCATATTGTCACCTGAGAACTGATTCATGATTAACAATGTCTATATGTTACAGACCCTGGTTGCGTGCACTGAAGTGTATATGACAATAAAGTAGTGAATCTCAAACAATTTATTTTATTTTTATTTATTTTATTCTAAATAGCCCTATAGGCTCATAGGTCTTTTGTCCCCCCCCCCCCCCCCC